AGTTTAACTGTTTCAACATGTCCGATAACAGCACTTTATTTGGTTACTCTGCTGAGCACACCACTTTTACCTGAGTATTGGAGTTTTAACGAGAAACTCATTTCCAAAAAAACAGATATAAATACCTATTTTGAAGTATGTAGCAATAAGTTGGGGAATTGGAAAGTGAAATATGTAATTCGGGCTTATAGCGCAGACGACCACAGTCGCCGAGGAATAGCCCTGCAGAAAAGACATATCCTTGTTTGAGCGTTAACTAGCGGAAGAGATATGGAGGTGTTGGCGACTGCTCCCTCTTCGAACTATGTTGGCCACAGAAATCTCTCCCCTTTCAATATTAGAGGTCTGATAGGTCGCAATATCCCGCCTATCGTGCTCCAAATCAACATGACGCTTTCATGACAACGGGATTACGGGTGTCAGAAAAAACTGACGGTCGCACTTTGCCAATTATAATCAATGAGGTGCGACGTGCTATAATAGTAAACCTACCTGTGCGACTTCAGTGATTACGCGTCGCGTAAATTGGTCCCCCTGCCTTTGTGAAAGTGTGGTCTGTTGCTAAGACTTTTGTTGTGAATACTTAAAGGCACGGTCTGCGATCAGGTGCAGAAGTCGGAAATATGGACGGGAGAGTAGTGTGGTCTACAACGAACAACACTGTACCAGTTCTGCTGCAAAACTTGTAAGGGAGGGGCGCTATAGCGCAACATAGGTTCAGTGACGCCTCCTTTTTTCCAGTGACTCCGCCTCCAGACTCCGCCCTCAGGCCCACCTTTCAGTGAAAAACGAAGCTGCAGGACGAAAAAGCATGAAATTGTCACCTGAACGGTCGTAGAGGGGGAATCAGCCATGCGGATGAGGGTGTAGTGTTGGAAATGGAGTTAACTGGGCCCTTACAAACAGGGATCGAAATGTCACTCAGTACTTCGTCGTCCATGTGCAATTTCCTTATCCGCTATGTGTGATGGCGAATGATCGCGGGATTTGCCTTAAACCAGCAACTCATCAAAAGGGGCCGAAAAAGACGACTTTCAAGCAAGTAGCAGCTTAGCGCTGAAGTGGCTGTGTTCATGCTTTGATTCATGGCCGATTACCCAAATATTCATGACCCCATTTTTCTCAAAACCAACCCTGTAAGAACTCCATGGTGCCTGGATTTTACAATTTTTAAGGCTTTAGTACGACGAACCAAAGCTTATCCATAGATGACATGCTTAGAAAAAATCTCCAGAACCAGAGGAAAATAATACCCTGACACCGGAACTGAAATCAAGCGTGTCCAAAGTGGAAACTCCATCCTTAACAGAGCTAAATACACTAAGGGTCGAAAGAAAAACTGGCGCAACCCTCCATGCCCTCTTTTTTTCCCGGATCTTTTTTGTTCCGAGCAGAATTAAAGTCTCTCTCCATTCTGCTCGAAAGTACCTAATTGACGCTGTCTACAGGCGCCGCCCTTTTATAGCCACTGGCTCAGTGGGCGGGGCGAGAGAGGTGGTGTGTGCAAGCGGTCGCTGCGTGCGCGGAGCGGTCGCGTTGAGCCCAGGTAAGGGCCTTGAATGGTATTACATATTTTTTTAATGTGGGTGGGTCATTGTTCGACGACAGACTATGTGGAAACAGTCTATACTGAAGCTCCCGATATGGAAATTTTAATATTTGATGTTTTAATAATGGGGCTTTACAAATGCTTGACTTTTCAAAATTTCTACCTATATTTCCTCTTCCGTTAGGAGTTCGCTGATCCTTGGTATGTCTCCTATGAGTCTCAATGAATCAAAGCTTATGAAAAGGATTTCAAAAAAAATATTTTGTGTTACGTGTTATTGATTTCTCTGTAGACCGAATGCTCCGGCAATGGTCACTGTGAATGTGGAAAATGCGTCTGCGATGAAGGCTTTAATGGAGCCACTTGTGGCATAGCTGACGAGGTGACTTGTGAGGGCATCATGTAGTATAGTGGAATTAGTATAGTAGCTGTTAGAAAACCTTAGAAGTGTCAACAAGTAGTAATTGTTGACAAAGGAATACTAACAATCGGCCTACAGTCTTGTTCGCTGCGGATGCTGCGGCGTGTCGGTTGGGTTTGGGTTTGGTTTTTTTATATTGGCGCCAGCTACATAGTTCTCCACCAATTGTGGTCGCCTACCAGCTTTCACAATTGGTGGAGAACGGGTTGGCGCCCCGCCAAACCCGGCCCCTGGCACACCCCATCTTCAGCAGCGATCAAGGCTGCAGCATTGTTCCTACCGTTGATTACTAATGATCGAAGAATACTTATACATTAAGGTTGTGACCGCTGCCCCTACAGAGGAAACAGCTCCTGAAGAGGAGGCGATGGAGCCCACTGAAATTGATGAGAAGGAGGACGAGATGGTACGCCCTTTCGAACGCTGAACAATAACAATTACTGAAAAGTATATTATAGGTTGACGCTGACGATAAAATTGAACCTGAGCCAGCTGATACGGTTCCAGAAGCAACCGAAAGTGACTATTCAGCGCCTGAACCTGGCATTCCAGAAGAAGCAAAATCCTCTTCTGCTGTTTTCCTATCATTTATCTTTGTTACCATTGCATCTATGCTCATCTAGATTCCTATTCCAGAACTGCTCTATTAACCATAGTAAGAGATTAATTATTGGCCGAGATGTTGTGCGTTATTTTAACAATCGATATTGCTAAAATAATCCATTTTCGTGTTCCTTCCTTTCAATATTGCACGTAGTGCTGGCTAGGACGAGTGCCTTTCATGTCAACTGTTATACCTCGCGAATCCAGTTGATACCGTTCAATTTCACGGTTTTTGCCACTTGTCGCGTCGATGTGGTCTACGTGGGGAATGGGCGTTTCTCCCCACGAAATATATCGTCATCGTGGGTGGCGTGTCTCGGTTCATACAACTGTTCGATCCCCATCGATCCTCAAGTGATGTAGGTGCTGAGAACGAACTGCTCAGCTCATCAACGGTGTGTTCCCATTGTACACGACGAATCCGTTGTCATCTTCTTACTGTTTTGTATATAAATATCTGCTCACGTTTCAAATAGAAAGTTCAAATTGTCTGGATGATTAGAAAAATTTGCTCACCGTAATACAGTGCATTCGGCGATATGACAGGCCACGGAATTTTTCTAGCTCGTGGAGGTATTCCTTCCAGTCCAAACATTCTTGAGAATCGGGACAGCGAAAAGCAACATTACGTATTGATCGGGAGAGTCGTCGGACACGCAGGCTAGTTGGGCGCCAAGGAAAAAGAGCTGTGTGCGTATCGATTTCGCTGGCTGCGCAGAAGAGCGTGTGAGCGAGAGCAGCCACTGTTTCACACGCGCAAAGCCTCGGATCCCTGGATCGATACGCATACAAACCTTTTCGCGAAAGCACCGATTTGCCCGCTCGCTTTGTCGATTCTCCGTCGCGGGCGCCAGCGACTGTGATATTTATGTTCAGGTGGTCAAACTACCTGAAGGAACAAGTTTTCAGCAAATTTGGTGGTCTAAGATATTTTGGCGTGGGTGCCTGTAGCGGGGGCGCCAGGCAGTTTCAGGCCCAGCGGGTGTGCTGTTTGTCTTCAGGAAGTCTAAGCACCCCTACAAACGAGTTTTTTGCCAATTCTGCCCTCGTGAAAAAAATTGGGTAAAAAACTTGCTACCTTTCGGGAAGACTGGAGTAGGAATAGTTCATTAGCGTCGTAAAACCTTTTCGCGTGAACATTTCTTTCTCCATTTCTTCGGAGTGGCAAATTGTGTACAATACGTGAAGAGATTAGACTTCGGCGCTAACATGTCTGCATATGTGGCGTCTCTTCACTTGTCTACACTCTCTAGAGATTTTACCGTTCATCGACTAGTGCAGCGACGTTGCATGCAGGGCAGATCCCAGTTGGACAATAACACAGGTCCGTATTTGACTGATGTGTGCGCGGGGATCGTCATCGCAGTGTCAAACAGCCTCGAACAGCGCAGCGGTTGCCTTTATAGAGGAGGAGAGTAGCGGGACTGTAGTCGCGCTGAAGAGAACATCGATTTGTGAAGAACGTAAACGGGACTCATAACGGGAATGGGTCGGCAGGGGAGTTGTAGCTTTCCGAATCCAAGAAACTTGCCTTACAAGCCCTATTTGAAAGCAATCGCAAAACGCACGCAACCACAACAGAGCTTAAAGATTGTGAGAGAAACTTGTTTCCCCGTCACCTCCTATTCATTAGGGCATACATGCACTCTCCGAAAATATAAATGAAACAGCCCTAACTTACACCCTTTCTGCGCTTTAATCGGAGCTTCCTTCACTCTCATCCAAGGCACAGCATTCGATGGGGATTTTTCGGTTAGAAAACGAGCCTGTACGCCCCTGTTTTGGAGGCCTGTCCGTGGTACGACCCCGCCCCCCTTTTTTTTGCCCCTGCCCCCGACTCGTTCGAGTTTTTTTTTGCCCTTAATGCACTGATGAAACGCCCACTACTGAGCTTCCTACTTGTATGAATGGTGCGCAATACTAACGATGAGACTTGAAGTCCAGTGACTACTAATAGTAACAATACAGCTGATTGACAACAAAAAACGGCTACAATCGTATTATGAGAAACTCGTATGATGAACTTCTTCGATGGCCGTTTTGAAACACACATGGTAATAATAACGATATATCGCGATTAAATTCAATGAGCATTCGTTAACCTGAGGTGGACTCCCTCTCTGGGAGCGGCCATCAGCGACCACAGTGTTAACAACGTCTATTCCCAAGATTGAGGACGAGGAAAAGAGAAAGTTAGGCTTGTCTCACTACTAACCATCCATTAATACAACCCAGCGTCAAACTGCATTATTCCACTTAGGCTGGAGTCCCCGGTAGCAGACGTACGCATGTAATTGCAGATCTGGACTCCGCGATCATTCTGGCAATTCTTAAGCCATCGGAGCCCCGAGACATTTTTCAGCACACAGTAGCCGTGTCCTTTCGCGACGAGGCAATAACTCTCTCAAAGCGCGACCTGTCGGGAAGGGAGCACCGTATTCGCGGATAGAGCGAAGGTTTGCACTTTCTAAACTACTGAAACCTTCCCGATGAAGTCGCTGACTCTGCCCACATAGGGATTCCATGGGAGTCAAGGGTGTGAAGTTTTAAGTTTGCAACAGTTCTGAACCAACTATATTTTTTTTTGTAACTCAACATTTCACAAATCTGAGAACGGTTTCGAGTGTTTGAAGATTTTCTCTTTCTAAAAACCTCTTGAACTGTTTCTGAAGCTCTCGGGATTCATGAGATCTCGCTATGGGGATTTCTTGAGGAACACTCCCAGCTGCGCGAAAAACCCGTTTCCTGTGTACCGTTTCAAGTGAAGCGTGTTCGAATCGCCAGACGCCATGGGGTTCGAACTCTACTCCCTTCCGTGGTGGTCTCTCCCTAGCAAGCCCAGCAGCCGACTTGCGCTCTCGCTTTAGCGCGCGATCACGCCCAACTTTGGATGCGTCCGCGGCCACTGAGCGGCCGCGCAGAGGGTGTCGGGGACTGGTCGTCTGCCAACCTTTGCGTAATGTCTGTTCACGCCAGCCAAATGTGTCTATAGCCTCTCACGGCCGGCCGTCCATGGCGCGAGCCTGCCGGTGCACAAAACCTTTTGTCTTTTACCGGCCCAGCTCTTCTTCTCGCGTATGACCTGGAACATGTCTGAGCTGCACGCATCCCGCTCTCCCAACCGCTGACTCCGATAAAGGAGACCAACTGCTGGAAAACGTCTGATATGAACGATATGGTAGTCCTGTCGCTTGTCGAGGAAAAAAACAGGTTGGCTCAGCGCCAAGCGCGACCGCGGACACGCCCATCATCCATTGGTCACGCGTAACCACGACGTTTGAGTTGTACTGTTTAGCTCCCAACGGACTTACGAGATAATGTCGACTTATTAATATTTGCAGTTATTTCGGATTAGTTTGATGAATGAAAGTTTTGTACTATTTTTTGCATATCCGAGTTCTCTACAAAGCAAGTTTCGTTGTACAGGACTCAGCACATTGACAATTTGCGCTGCTCGTTACTGGCTGCCGCACTCACTACGACCCCCCTCTCCTGGCGGCCAAATACGACCCCCCTGTTGGGGATTCCCCAACCAACGATGTGCCCTGCTGCTCTCATCAGCTGAAGTAAATCGCATTGTGGATCGCCGCCGCCCTTTTATAGCTCGTCCGGTGGGCGGGGCCTGGCGGACGTGGATGGAAGAGGGGAGGGAGAGTCCAGAGAAGTCACCGTGTGCATGGCTAACAATGTTGAGCAGGGTGTTATTGATGGCATCTAACGCCCTGTATTGATTTGCAACCAGATGTGCGTTTCACATCCTCCTCTTTTAGGATGATGTGCTTAGATTTTACTGTTTTGAGAGGTTTTTCGCCAGTCCTCGAGCAGTTTGATTCGTTTTGATGACGCTTTTGAGGCAAAATGTTAGTTTCAAGACCTGAGCGTTATTGATTAGTGAGTGCTGTGTCGCATACCCTCCTGTTGTAGGGGAACTAAAAATAGCGGGTTCCATCATTTTGTCGTATTTTCTCCCAAACAGTACATTGTACCACTTCGGAAGGTTGAATCGTCAGAGTTGAACAGGGCAAGTAATGGACAAGATGGAGGATATCCCGCAATTAAGAATGCTGGCATGCTTCTGGAAAGTTTACCACTACACTGTAATTTTAAGAGTACTGACGCGAGTGAGGAAAAGAGAGGAAAAAGCCGTAAAAGGCCAAAATAAGCTGTCGTAGCTCAATTCCAATGTTCACTACATGCTGTAACGCGCGTCCGCGCGCGCTCGAGAGCTATGCCCCTTCGATGCTCTAGATGGCTGCAGGCGGATATCGATCGGCGCCGTCTGCTATTGTTTTGAAAGGGTCTAAAGGAATAAGAGGGTATCAGACTGCGTGATCAGGCGACGCATACCTTCCTACTACCCTATACTTTCTCGTCACACAAGCGGCCGGCGCTGATTGATACCCGCCTGTATTATGGCGCCATGGTAGTGATTGCGCGTCTACGCGCGTCGTCGTGTACTCTGTACGTTGCCTTAAGTGTCACTCATACTTCAACTGCTCGTATGACAATTTGCCTTTCTTCGCCTCTGATAATCACTAGCCAAAAAAACTTTCTATAGGCATGCTAAAATCACGTCTTTCCTGCAATCGTGTGCTGACTCTGATGATTGACCTTCTTGGCCTAGCATTGTTTAAAAAGACAGCTTTAAAAAGACGAAACTGATAGTGTTGAGCTCTTGGACCATGTGGCCTGTGAAATCGCTAGCGAATGTCGCCTTCTGATCAAATACTTATCCCACTATTTTCCAATTTTCAGAATTTCTGTTTTCTCTAGACTTGTTCTTAGTTTTCATTCTATTCTGCCTAGTCCTAGTTGTCCATAGTGAAGTTCACGTTTGCAGTTGTATACGTTGAAATTTCTGTGGTATTCTGAATGTTCCCTTAACGCCCGCTGTGCAGCGTGAATACACGCCGTTTCTCTGCGCCCTCCATCGATCTCGCTCTCCCCCGTATACTGGAGCCCCGCCCACTGGCGAGCGCCTATAAAAGGAGGCGGGAAAGCCAGTGGATCAATCATCGAA